CATTATACTAGCTGCCGGTCGGAATTGACCGATGTGCGTCAAAAAGGTGTAAAGACTCCGCGGAGACCCAGGGTGTTACGGCGCGACGGGTCAGACCATAACTAACTAAGCCAGGAGAATACAGAGCATTTTTGATAGGTGACCAGTGCTGGTTGACATTGTCGGGTGAGGTTAATTCTCGCTTTCAGTTCGCGCGTTTTAGAAGACAGTTAGCAAGCTGGTTTGGACAGCTTATCACAGACTAACTGTCGTTGTGTTGTGCGTTTGGAACGACCACCGAAGCACATGGACAGCTTGGCGCATACTAATGCATGGTCGGATTCGAGGAGAGTGCTCCAGTACGATCGGCAGTCTTGAATGCAGCCCCGCCATTTGTGGCCATTAGGAAAACAAGATAAAGATAGATTTTTGATGTTTGAACACTATTATCTATGCATTATTGCACGAATTTGGTGGGGTGGCTGAGGTTAGGCGCAGAGTTTTGGGTAAACGCGGTCGACCACTAGAGGAAGTGGTCAACTTCCATAGATTACGTTAGTTGGGGCATGTATTACGCATGTCACCAAATAGTTTGCCATGGTGCGCGATGCAGGTGGTGGACAGAAAAAAGTCAAGGGTGGTCAATCTAAGACCTGACACGAGGGTTTGAAATCCCTAACCAGGGTACTGCGTCATATGGGCTCCCTGGCTGGGGACCTCGGGATGATGGTCACCGATGGTTATAGACATAGTGATATAGCTGGGTGTCACAAACAGTTGCGCTCGTGCATCTTCCCAATTTCTGTGCAGCCCTAGAACATCGAAATTCTCTATTTTCTGTTTGACTCTACTTTCAACCACCGCACGAAGGTGCATGGTTAATGGTTGTACAAACTGAAAAAAATGAAACTGGCGTCCTGCGACTTGGAGCAAATAAGGAGCGGTGTGGTAGAAATGCGCAGCCAACCACCGATTTCCATGTAACAACGAATTTTCCATTAAGAAAATTCCGAATACAAAAGAGGTTAACCTCGGGTTTACCAAGCCAACCGATATTAACTACTTGAATGTAAATGATGAGAAACGCCACTTCAACGCCAAGGTTATTTTAATCTGATATACAATTCTGAATCCCTGAATAAACGTGCGATTGAATCTAGTACTGCGCTATCCAAAGAACAAAGAAATGCAAAAACATACCCTGACTTTAATGGATGATGCTCAGTGGACCATCATTCGCATTTGTGAATTATACTCATGGATCTCGGTCAACCTCTAATCACATATAGCAAGAAACAAGCATTTTAAATCCGCATCCTTTCGGTTTAGAATGAATGTAAAAAGACATCAGATGGGAAAGCATCATAGAATTCAACACTTTGGTGACGATTATGATGAAACTTCTCCCGCGGTGGTTGAGGCAGTAATTCTTGGTACTAAATCAGTTGATGGTTGGCTCCGAAAATAATGTGATAGGCTCCTCTGATCGGGTGTGGTAGAGTAACGTATCTGAGAAAGGGTACGAGAAAGTTTGCCAGGTCCAGTAAGCTTTCCTCTATTTGAGGGTTGAATGTAAGATGACCTTTCTGGTTTTATTAGGGGTTGTCTACCATTATTTCAGTCGTAGGATCTTTAGTTGCCTTTCATGCATGATTTCATTTTTGACGTTACTTTAGCCATCCAGTGTAGATCGATGGACCACGGAGGTGCAAAGATAGCTAAACCGCATCAAGGTATAGTCTGTTCGTTGTGGAACTTACAGTAAGTAGTACTTGATAATCGTGCCCCTGGACACTACACCTAAGTTTGAACTTCTAGTAGATCAGCAGCAAAAATTCATAACCAAAGCAATCCACTGGCATGCTGATAATAATACTAAGGAGACAAAACACTAACGTGCACAATTCCGCTGATCGCCAAAAAAGGGAAGAAAGCCAAGATCAGTAGAGTGAGCTGCCAGCTAAAGTAAAAAGCCACCACCAAAGTGATACTGATCAACATGAAGGTTTCGCACAAAGTTCCAAGGGGTGTTCCCGTAACTTGGGACAGTTTGGACGCTTCTGTGGCAAGCAGTGCAGTTAATGCACCTGCTTGATTCTCTGATCGATCAAACCAGCCAATTTCCTGTGACCAATAAAAAGAAAACAGAGCGGGAAACAATTTTCATAAAAATTAGCAATCTCAAAACCGAAGTGAAAAAATATAGCATGATCTCGCCGAAGTAGTTAGTCGAAAGACTTCTATTGTAAGTTCAACTATGAAGAGTGCATTTTTCACTAAAAAATAAGAATAAGCCAAAGGAGTATAATTTTGTATAATCTATCAAATAGCGAGTAAAGGATGTGATAACTCTTGTAGATTGAATTAGTTCTATTCAGCTGCTCATTAGAGGCACTTTTGAGCACAACCATTCCGAGAGATTGCAGAACAATCAAGCCCATCTCATAATTAACGAAATTATCACAGTTTAAGCAAACATACTTCCTCAAAAGATCGTAAATTTGACTTCTGCATCCAACGAATCAAGTGAAATGGAATGCATAAAACCACGAAATGATAAAAAGCAAACATAACGAAGAGCATCTTATCTATTGTTCACGGAAAATCAGTTTCTTCTTTACGAAACAAGTGATTGTTTAATCCGCCATTTAGAAAGTAACGCTAAACATTAACTGTATTACTGCCATTTCGGAGGAATCCATAAAAGCCAATGGATTTGGAGAAGAAACCTAATTGGACGGTGACTGAACATTCGGAACGACGTATAAGACCAACATATGTTTACGGAAAGCAATAGTTGACGGCGAACGAAACGAAAAACCGATGGTTACATTCTACCATGCGAACGTGCATATAGGACGTACAATCAGACAGGAAACGACACCAATGGCACAATCAACCATATATATGTTTGTATTTATATCACCAATCCTCACAGATACGGCGCCAAAATAACCATGGATTAACGAAAAATATGGGTACAGAAGCAGGGAGAACAAAACAGTCAACAGGTAGGAATAATAATTTTTTATTTTTTTACTGCACGCAGTTTTGAGGTTTTATTTTTTTCACAAAAGAGAAGATGCATTTGAGCCCGCAGTATCTCCAGCCCAAGACAATCTGAAACTTGGGGCCCCAGCCGGGGAGCCAGAAAGCCCCAAAAGAAGATTCGAGCGAAATTTCTTTAACTGTCTGCGCCACGTCATAGCCTGCCCACCTCATTGTTTCTTCCTGCCTGGACCGATGTCTGCAAATAGTGCGCGGTGTGGCAGACGTTTTTCAGGCATTTTTTGGACGTGCCCTAGTCACCCAAGACAATGCTGTGAAATTATTTTGCTCAACGGAAGACTATCGATCCTAGCACACGTCGTCTGACCTCATTGTTATTCATGCGATGCTGCCACCATACGTGGGCGATGTTTCGCAGACAGCGGTTTTCGTAGACGGATAGTTGTTCGGCGTGATATGCTTTGAAAGGCCAGGTTTCACAGCCATGGGGAAACACGCGCGTACCATCGCGCAATGCACGCCCTTTCACTGGGTACCACTATTTTGGCTCTGACTGTTCTATTATTACGCCTAAAATTTTGCTTTTGAAAATCCAAAAACACGATATTTAAGGTGAAGAAAACGTTTATATGTCGACATGAGGGTCAACTGATAGCCCAATTAGGACTGATGACCGAGGCTGATGGGCAATGATATGAATCTCATTCCAAATATGAGATAACCGTAGCAGGGTTTTATGTTATCTTATACTACTCACCAGTAGTATAAACTGCTATACGGCTAAATCCGTGCGTTGGCTTTTGTATTGACCAAAATCATGTTGTTTTTAGCAGAATGCTCGGTAGTATTACAAATAAATGAGAAATCCAGTGGTATCAATGGTTTTAGTCGGTGTATCCATTTAAACACAATCACAAATCCCTAGTTTCTTCGAAAGTGATTGAGTTCTTGTCTATTGAAGCGTTAGTTCGGGAGATTTTACTTACCATCTTCTGATGGTGAGCGTTTTTTCTAAAGTGAGAGGGCAAACCGAAGATATTACATTTGACGAGTCTGGGGCTTCTAGTAGATCTAGAAGAGCTGGGAAATCCTAATCCGAAACCTCCCACAAAGAAGAGTAGAAATTGGATCCAGGTTACCCCGATAATGAAACCTAGTGGCTCGATGGTGTGGTAGAGTGTGCTGGGCACCATGGGTGAGGGAACAGCGTTCACAAGGCGTGAGATCCGTCTGGCGGGATACCGAACCCTTATGGTCTATGGTTTTAACATATTCACTGCTGCTCTCTAGGATTGACTTTGGTAACCTACAGGCACAAGTTAAGGATCCTGAAGGAAATCATTTATTTTGGTTGAGCCAAACTAATAGTATCGAATCCAGGGACAAATGATTCAATAATTCCTCTTTCCCAAAGTATCTAAACAAACTTCTTCAGTTTGTCATATAGAATCAGAGTAGTATAACATGCATTGTACACATGAATTAAATTCTTTCTCCTTGTTGCTACTCTTCTATTTATTCTGTGAAAGTGATACAATAAGGCTATGTAAATGATCATTTTCATGCTATCAATCAGTGTGTTTCCGGTGAAGTACGTTCAGTATGAGCAAATATTTCATCAACATGATCAACTCTAACAGCATTAGTATTATCAAAAAATTGGTAGTAGTGAGCATTGGCTTTATCATGGAATAAACAAAAAGGAAAACCAATTTCGCCATATCTGCACAAGTGGAACAGTTGATCGCTCGCTGTGAACCTTGAACACAAACACTTGTTGTGAAACTGCATATCACAGTGAACTTTGAGTCCACCAACGCACCTGTCGCATCATGGATTGGAACACAATGGATCGCATTCGCCGAATCAGTCGCTCTCCGGATACACCGAAAAAGTAACCCTAATTGTAGAGAAATAAATGAATAGATTAGCAGTGCGCGGATGAATACTACACTCAGGGGTTTTTGCGATCGTTATTTTTGCCCCATGACACATTTGAAAAGTCTGAACAATTTACAGTGTTAAGTTGTGTGATGGTGCAAGTAGATACTTAAAGCGTACATAAATAATACAATTCAGGTCACTTCTCAGCTAAAGATCTTTCCAACTAAATGACTTATCAGAGAGACGAGATTCAAGAGGGAGAATTTTACGGCCCAGGCTAGTGATCGTTTCACCACAAATAATGCTCCTGCATGACAGAGAAGAAGCGGCAAGCAAGCTAGTGGGGCGAATATTGATTGCGCTTCATTAGATGTTGATTATGTCATCAGTTCGCACAATTCACAGGTTTGCAAGATAAAAAGGATGTTCAAGTTCTTTGTGTCACGGTGATCATGAGAAATGTGATTGAACAGGAGAATATATCTCCTTTGGACATAGAGACCCGAACGTCTGATAACTCAGAATCAGGCTCACAAGAAAGTATGGTATACAGATTGCAATGATATGTGACCACCCCTATTCGGAAAGAGATGAAAATAGCGACAGTGGCACATTCGGCGAGGTGAATCTCGGTCTGAGTCGTTACTCTCGTTGTTATCACAGCATATCTTATTAGTCATGCGCCATCAGAGATTTTCGAACGACATTTTCAATGTTTACAAGCGACACAACATCTATATCACAGCTATAAGTGGACAATTTCGGTCTCTCATTAAATTACTAATAGTTTTTAAATCGAAAATTAATTTTGATTGTGACGAACTTGAAATGCGTTAAGCTATTTCTACCAAAAACTTTCGATGCTGCTTTGAACACTATCAACAATAAAATTCCACGTGTAAACTGATGTGCTGAGTGAACAATACAAGGTAGGAGGTAACTGAGTTGATAAGAAATGAGAACCCATGGGCAAATAGTTTGCTGTGAAGTATTCAAATTATTTGAATAATTTGCTGTCACGATATTAAGTAATAATTACCTAATCACTACGGATAAACCGACTCAATTGACCTGAGAAAGACCCTGATTGTGCTATGAGTTTCATTTTAAACCATTAAAACGTTTATGCTGACTGAAAGACAGACTAATTCAATCACGAACCAAGCTGCTAATTTGTGTATGTAACTGTTTACCTGAGATATACCGAGTAGTAAGCGAATAGCACCAATACCAGTCATCGCGGCACTGATCACGTTGATCTGCCTTTGTTGCTCGTCTTTGTCTGTCAGTGCAAATATCTGAAATCAAACGGAATACTGTGCTTGTGACGCTGCTTGCCCAGATGCCCCCCTCCACACCCACCCACCCCCCCCAAAAAAAAACAAAGATACATAGATAGAATGGGCAACAGAACAAAACAAAGAACTTTTGACTGGCAGTCTAACAAACCTCCGTCCCTGGAATGGAAAAATCGAAAGAATAACTGGAAACCAATTTCGACTCCGACTATGTGAAGTTAATCGGACAACGGTGGAGTCGCCTTGCTCTCGAATTGTTNCGGAGTTGCACCTTGTACGAAAGTATTCAGATTAATTGACAGAGAAGCAATCTCTGAACAAAAGCTGAATCAACAAACACGCCAGTGATAATGAATACCGCATAACTACAATTAGAGTGTAATTGGCTACCTTCTACTTGACCTCCGTCATCGAGGTGCTTCTCCATCTGACCGTGAAGCGCATTACTCAACAAGCTTTGGCGTCGCCAAACCAAAAATGCAAGCAGAACTGTAAGCCCGGAGAACAAACCCCCATCAACGTCCCAATCAATGGGTGTTTGTAATCTTTTCAGAGCTGATCTTTTTTATTTGGGGTACTGAAGCAATTTTCAGAGGTCAGTTCAGACCAACTCAATGGCTATCCGCGGAGGGCATTCTCTATAATCAACTGTTACACTGCTTGAAGTTGATTTAGTTTTTATTTAAAATTTAGATTCACAATGAAGGGATCACGTTCTTTGTTGTGTATAACCTGCATTGTTGTGCCCACAAACAAAGTATGGATTGATTTCTATGTTATAACGATGCTTACACTACTATGTACTTGAGAGATCCCGAACTCAGGTAAGTATGAAATATGATATAAGATACACGAAAAATGAACTGGACAGCATACCGTCCACTCGACCACCGGAAAGCTGATCGGACAGTTTTTCATTTTCAACTTACACGACCCATTTTTGCGAGCTTGTTGTTGGCATCGCGCCAGCACTGGCATCTCGGCACTAGCCTCCGGGTTATGGCTCAGTAGAAACAATTCTAACGTGAGAATAATGAATAAATTTCATGGAGAAACTCCTCTACGCAATTTAGTCCAATCCTTCACTACACTCATGTAACATATACGAAAAGATCGAAAAGGACTGATGGAGTGGTCAAAAGAGCGTACACTGTGTGGGCTTCAGGTCTAACTGACCCCCGCAGAGTGACTGATAATACAATTAGTAGTATCTATCAACCACAGCTAGAACGACATGCAAGTGGCATATGACTGTGGAAGATTCTAATACTGACCGGAAAAATCCACTGAAGTTTAATCACGAAAGAAGAGCACCAGAGTGGTTAAGTATGAAAACAATAGAGTTAGAAGTAGCTGGAGCATAACCGATACACTGGGGTTGGGCTATACACATTTAAACAAATACATTTAGGAACCGCTCGTTGCAAATGAAGTTCAATTTAAGATCATTGCCACCAGACGCGTGTTTCAATCTGCATCACTTTCATCAACAGGAAGAATGTGGAGTAAACTTTGCATCAGTGCCTGCTGTCTCGAGAACTGTAATTCCATTTGTTTAACACTCCTGAAATCACGCAATAGTTCAAATTTGTTGACCAAATGAGTGACTGCATATAACTGGACAACGGAGTCGAAAAAGCTCGGTACATGCACCAATACAAATAGTGAAGAATAAGTGCAAACATATGATTAACGAAAAAGCTTTTTTCGGATAACACGAGTACGTTTTATTTGCGTGCTCGTACCAATAAGCAAAAATTTAGAAACTCACGCGGTACACCTCTGAGTACAGAATGGCAAATATAGGTTGACACGAGCCGGCTAGTGTGCAACAAATGCAACCGGCTATGATAAACAAGATCTCGGGACGATTCAAACGAATTAGCTGCAGAACAGGAGTGTTTTTGAACTTTGCCAATTGGTAACGGTTAAGAGAACGGGGGAGTGGACCAGGTGGTGAAGTGAAATACACAAAAATAAGACAGATCATAAAAATGAGGTACCTAGAAACAACTACACACGGATCAGTTGTAACTTTATTTCAGTGAATGACAATTATAGTTGTCCTTAAAATGAAGCTTACAAAATAGGAGTTGATTAATGCATCATAGGAACTGATAACCATGCACTTTATTTTTAACTTGATGGACCGTCTGATTGCCAAACCTTTTCTGTTAATGAGGAAGATAAACAAAGTCAAAGTTTTACTATGGGAATTACATACAACCTCATGCTTCTCTTGTCCCCATAGGATATTTACACAATTGAATCGTTCCACGGCGAAACGAATCACATGCAGNCATGCAGTTCCAAGTAGGAGATTACAGACAATATAGACTTCAATGAATTCACGTGTTTTAATAGTGTAGGAATGTGAGGTGCACCAAGGTTTCATGGGGTCTCTGCTTGAAAGATTCAATAGTTAGTGCACAAACGACGTGAGATGGAAGGATAATCCAAGTACTGCATACTCTGACTGCAAAAGATTGGCGCCGGCGTTCCTGTCGACAAGGACATGTAAAACATTTTTGAAGGTATCTTCTAATCTAAAATACCCATGCCCATTCCTTCACCGGTTTTGTTTTCTGTCTTTTGGCTACCCATTTGATTGAAGGGGTAGGGGGCAGATTGGAAATTTGAAAGCAGAGTCGAGGATAAAATGGGAAATTCCTGCGGACTAAGGTTGCAAAGAATTTGAGAAGAAGTACGAGCGCCACCGCTTACGGCACTCAAGTTTCTCTGCCAAATGATAACAATGATCCCGAGGTTCTCATCCAGCGAGGCAAATGCGACCTTCACAACCGACTCTCTTGCTTAGGGTTTTGTTACCCGCATATTAGTTCTTATTTTCGTCACCCTTGATTTTCCCCACCCATCACCTGCTTTGGTAGACAGTGCACCCCGCGTCAATCTATTAGGTAATATACGTAACGCTTGCCCCTATCAGGTTATTCTATGCAAATCGACCACTTTCTTCAGTAGGCGTCCACTTAAAACGGTGTGCCTAACCTCAACATTGTTTGTTTGGCTGCACCACGAGATTCTCGCGATTCTGCGTAAACAGCGGTGTTCGAACACTGACGATCTATGGTTANTTTCTGCCCTGTATAGCTGCAACGGCCGAACCGCTACAGCCTGAACTGGACTTTTAAAAATTGTGTGACGCCGGCTAAATTGAGTAAATCCTAGAAGTCCGGAATCTTTCAATGGCACAATATCGATACGATAGCAATGCGATATCTATCTGCAAGTAAATGACTTCTATAACTCAGCGCAGTTGGATTATTTAACTATCGTGTTCTGTTTTTATTTGACATACTTTGCAAGATATCGCAAAGGAAAAAAGATTAAAAGGTAATCTACTGCAGTCATGTACTTGACTCTGATGCTTTAGAGGTGGAAAATCGTCGCCCGTGTTAATATAAAATTAGTTCATTGCAGTAACCTCTGGAGAATGTGAAGTGCGTTGCAAAGGTAGAACATCTTAGTTACAACAAAAAGTCGAGATTTGTTGCATAATATTACAGAAATGTTGACCATGAGTAACATACTGCAATCAACTTTTATACTTCTGTATTCATAATAATAGACTGTCAGAAGTACAAACTAATCTTAAACTAATGGTGTGGTTTTAATCCATCTTGCCTACAGGAAATTGTCTATCAAAACACAGACGCTTTCAGGGAGGTATCCTAGTGGCTACGAAAGAACAGGGATTTTTATGAAATTCACAGTTATATGGTGATGAATGCATAGGGCTGTGAGAAATAACAACCACTCGGGTTTGTTTCTTTGCATCATATTCTAGATAAATATGCAATGATTAAGTGTTCAGTTTACAACTGATCCACGTAAAATTTAGCATTGATTAATGCAACGGAGTCCGTAAGTTTTTATGAAAGTATTACATTAAGAGATATCATAAACCTTTCCTCGCGGTTTTTTCACACTTACTGAGCGGACCGATTTCAGTTTTTCGCTTCCTTTGAAAGTCAATGTGGAATTGAGAGAGATGGTACTTGAGCAAGCCTGTAAATCAATTGGACGCGGATAATTGTAAACAAAACTCTTTTGCGGAATTCGAAGCAATAATTCGTCACACAGGTGAACAGATTCGCATTTGCATGATCACGTGCTTTTCCCAGTTCAGACCTAAATGCACTGCTGCGTGATTTGTTCCTCGTATTGTGTTCAGTGTGATTCCGCTACGCTGTATACTACCTATTGAACTAAAACTCGAGTCAAAGGAGTGTTATTTTATGCATTTGGCAGCCAGTTGCTAGTATCGATTGTCGATGGTTCATTGATCAGATTGGGAAAAAAGAGGATAAGCCGTATCTGAACGTTACACGGAATTTCATTCAGCATGCCAAACAACAACGACGTTCACTGACTAACGATGCAATGGGTGGAAAATATGGTAAGTAATCATGGAAACATCTGGTCAAATAAAAGGGTTCAAAATATGTGAAAGAAAAAATTTGTCCGCAAATGAAGTGGTCGTAAATTCGACGTAGTAGCAGTGTGAATAAAAATATTAACGAAGTCAGTGAGTAATTTCACATGGGTTTATGAATTGTACTTCAAATTTTATTCGTAAAACACGCATATATTTTTTATCCTTCACGACGGCTAGCACACGTATTGAAGAGAATGAAAATGCTTTTCGACAAATATAATTACTACCATCCACTTATTGAAACACCCAACTGAGGCATAGAGAATTCAGTAAAGATGGCAACCGTTGAGATATAGACGAATTTTAACTAAACTGTGTCAACGTTTCGTAAGTCGTATTAAGATGTAGATTTCAATGAGGTAAAAAATCAGATGTAATAGAGTTAGAGTTTGACTCAATTAGTGCATTTATTATTGATTCAACCCTAAATAATAGAATGAAAAGAACGGAACAGAAAGAAGAAAAACAATGGCTGAACAATCACGCATCTTAATGAATCTTACGTCATTGTCCGGTTGCAGTTCTTGCACTTGTTTGCAACTATCCGTCTGCTTCTGATTGTCTGATCCTTTGGTCTTCTCTGCCTCAAACTCGTTCTCTTTTTGTTCTTCTTCACCATTATCGTCTTCTTCTGACCTTTCATCTTCATCCTGGAAGAAAACACGCGGAATAGAAGATTGTTTTCCGACTAGTTTTCTTAGCATACTGATAAATAGAAGTGTTTTTCGTACTCATTATGCAGGGATACAAGACTTGCTCTATTTGGTTGGTTACCCCTCACGTTGATTAGTCATTAGTCATCACCAAGTAGAAACTCACCTACCTCAAGGCTGATAGCTCCTGAGAGGACATAAACCGATTTTATGGATATCCCGAAATGCTGCTGTTCACGCCCGGTGGTCTGCGGCAAGATCTGTACAGATTGCGATCCAGCTTTACTTCCATTGACTTTCGCCGTAGATTGAGCGGAGACCGAGGTTTTCTGTATCCTTGCACACCGTGTCTAGACAGGTTTTCGGCTGAGCACGGTGTCGACACTGCCAGTTTGAGCAGAAAGGTGGCGTCAATGCAGCTTTGGTCCGGTCTTTATCATACTAGCAAACCATCTTAGTCGCTGCCGTCGTACTGGCGTCCACAGTCGTAGAAGATAAAAACGACGGTTTCTGACCGCTTCATTTGAGAGCTGATTGCTCCATCTTACTTCCAGAATGTTTCTTAGGTACCAGTTAGCTAAGACTTCCAAAGGTCGACAGTTTTTGACCCTAAATCGCCAGATTTCGCAGGCGTATAACAATACGGGACGAACTACTGCTAAGAAGACACGTATTTTTATCTTTAGGTTGAATTCATTTCTACGCGTGCAAGTGACTTCATCCGCCCAACGCATACGTTAGACACTGAATCGCCGGGAGTCAAGCCCCGGGTACCCTCAATCTGGTTTGGCCCCTTCTGTCGACAGATTTATCGGGGTGTGGCCACTTTTGCATCCAGACAGCTTCTTGGAGCCACAAGTGAGACCTGAGCATCTGGTGAAGACCGAAGAACGACGGATTTCCCGAAGCGCTGCCAGTCCTCCTATTCAGAGGTGACACTTCTCCCAGTACCCCTTACACCCGTACACACCAAACACAAGCAACTAAATGGTAACCGGAAGCCCAAAAACAGTCTGAGTTATACAAAATAGAGTCCCCATTGCATTCGTGTCAAAAGGATTGGAATAATCAAGCAAAGAAGGAAAATGTGGGACAATCGTCCATGAAAACCAAAGTACGCTGCTATAATAGTTGGCTTAGACAAGGGTATTGCAATGGTGATTTCTGTCTGAAAATCAAACGGTTATACTCAAACGGAGAAAATATGCTAGTGTTCATAAACCAAGCAGCTATTGACACCTAACTTCGCGCTCTTCTTTGTGTCATACAGGAAGCCTTTAATGGAATGATTTTTCCATCATGACCTCATGTTTGTACAATTATGCTTCGAAAATTAAAAGAATGAAAAAACAACAATTAGAACCGGCTATTACAGCCCATCTTGAGAAACAAGACACAAAAACAGCTCTTTGAGACCTCAAACCATAGAATAAAATTTCTGAAACGTGAACTAAATATATGAGTTTCAAAATAGACAAAGTGCTTAATAACAGCTTCTAGTTGACTGTGTTCTTCAAAATAAAATAAAAAACATTGACAAGAAAATGAAAACCAAAATATTGGAGTCTGGGTTTTCTGTACGGAATAAAGACAAAGTTGGTGCTTTTAACAATAGTGATAACCCAAAACTTGCAAGGCAAACGGTACCTGGTGCTCCACCATTGATGCGTATAGACCGCCAAGACGCACTAACTGGTCGTGTGTGCCCATCTCACGAATACATCCCTTATCCAACACCACAATGCAATCTGCGTTACGTATTGTAGTCAAACGATGCGCGACGACAAGTACAGCTCGCCCTGCGGAAGCTTTATCCAATGCAGCCTGAACCTCATACTCCGAGCGTGTGTCTAGGGCCGATGTTGCTTCGTCCAACAGGAGCAAACTGGGCTTTCGTACCAAGGCACGTGCTATAGCAATTCNAATTCGCTGCTTCTGACCACCAGAAAGACCTGCTCCACCTTCGCCAACGACCGTATTGTATGCCTAAGTTATTTAACGAGACAAAGAACAAAGTATAAAAAAGCGTTATGAACGAACCCTGGTTGGTGTTGTTTCTCTCTTTTGAGAAGTGCCGCTTTTAAGCTTTATTAACTGCTTCTGTTACCATTTTATTTGATCAGAACACCGTCATTGTTTTAGGGGCTCATCGCGCACTTTCATCCTACCATTTAAGCATGATCATACTTAAATAGTGAATAAAATTTTGATCGAGATTTCAGACACACTGCGTGTAAACGAACTTTGGCCGATCGAGGCAAATGCCATTCACAAAGGACGTAGATTAAATACCCGCACCCTCTCTACAAAATTCCAATTTCTCCAGTTCCTACTGTGACATCACAACAATGAGCATCTCACTCGCAACTGTAAGCAGACTTTCTCTATTCTGTTTGATTCATAGGTTCTTAATGAACTTCAAAAATTATAATTCCCGGTTCCTGCTTGCTTCTCAGCCTCCCAACCAGAAGCGGGCACATAAAAGTTAGTAAAGTAGTTATAGAAACCACGGAAACCACTCATCGCGGATCACGAGCATAGTGTGATAATCTCGAAGCAAGCTGAAAAGTTTCAGCATCCAAGAGGAAATCATGGTCTTCTTTGACGTCGCCACTTTGTGCGCTTCGATCGATTTGAACCTGGCAGGATCCACGCTGCGGGAGTTGATAACCGAGTACCCTCCAAAACAACCAATGAAACAAGCTTTAACCTGCGGAGTCGTCTTGCCATGCATGCAGACGTACTTCAAACTCGGGAGCAAAAATAAGTTTGAGTTTGCACAATCATTAACCATGCACTATAGTGTACCGGTTTTGGTTGCTATCTTTCGGCTGCCTATTTGGCTGAATATTAGGAGACAGACAAGAAAGGTTGAAAGTAGGATCTAAGAGAAAAGTGAAAAGTTCAGTGGGTCAATGATACAGAGAAATTGAGAAAATGCACGAACACCACCGTTTACACCACCAGCCATATCAGTCAGTCTCTAACCATCGGGTACGACCATCCCGAGGTCTCCATCCAGGGAGCCTAACGGGACCTTTGTGACCTAAACTCCCGGAAACCAATGAAACTGCTAGACAAATTCGTAATGCAAAAGCTGGAGAAGGAAGTATCACCATAACCCACGGCGAAACTTTGGTTAGAAATGTTGAGGACACATTTCTCATCCTGAAAAAATCGGAGCTAGAAAGAACATGCATCATTCATAGCATGTTCAGTCATATGTAATTCACAATGGACAAGGAATAATAACAAATTAGCTTTTTTTGACATCTTGATCACTAGAGATATCGGTCTACCGCAAAACCCCATATACTGATACAATCCTGAACCTCGAAAATAATCATCCACACAGCCAGAGACGATGTTGCGTTCGTGTCATGTTCTGAGGGATTCAAACGCATCACAGCACCAAGAGGCTCAAAACTAAAGAATGAAACTGTCTCTCAAGAAAGATCCGTGAACACCAATTGGCAGCCAAGAGATATGATCCGCTCTCAGACAGTTCCTTCCATTAACTTCATGAAGGACATCAAATTGACGTAGAACCATGGACCAAGCCCGGTTCAAATACGCCAGAGAGGTTCTAGAATTTTGGCATTCTTTGACCATCCTAGTAAACAGGTCTATCGAACTGAATCACATGTATATTTCAGTGCCACAAAAGAGGTCAAAAAGGGCCATAAAGGTCACCGAAGGACCTATAAAAGAGAACGGATAAAGTTAGAATACCGCCACTTCACAAGCACTGAGGATGTCACCTCGGCTGTTGATGAAATATTTTCAAACAAATGGTTAAGTTCGGCGAACTGGTGAAAACGAATCCAATGCACCCCAGCTTGGAGAACCAAATTTCAATACTTTGTCAACATACATCGAGTATTTCTTTTACAGCCTTTTGAACTGCATTTGTCTCAATCGGTCAAAGCTCATTTGTCATAAGTGTGTCAGAAATCTCGAAAAAATGTTATTCACAATTTGGGTATGGTGATGCTTCAAATGATGAATTCGGCCGGGCCAAAGTGCGCGATAAGCCTTTCAAAACACAGACAGCATTTTTCATCAACTGCAATGGTAATAAGAGCAGATAGGCACATCAGATCGTGATAAATACCACAGTATGTATGTGATTCTGATCAATCGATAGTGCTCATTAAAAATTCGATCTATCTTGCACCGAACACACTTCATTGTTTTTCTAAATTTATTGTAAATATATGTGCAAATGGGAAACATGTGTTCACTATCATCCTTCACGCAAGCTGGCTCACATACTATACGCACCACGATACAATTGTTGAGAACCAAATTTATTGGCTTTTCGTTCGCACCGAGTTTTTACATGTGTTTACCATAAAATATGCCTTGCCATGATCTAAGGTTTCATATGATTTCATCCTATTTGCCTGTCCGAATGGGTTGGTTGTATTACCGTTTGATAAGAACATGTCTAGGAAAAGCAAACCGTTTACACAACACATTTATCTTGATTGCATTAAAATATAGAACCCAAGTAAAATAGATAATTAACTAACTGACCGGCCCAAGTCGCATTAACGGGCGCACTAAAATGTGAATTCTCATCACGGTCAATGTCCTCAAACATAGACAGTTCTCCTGGGGCTCGAACGTATGAATGCCTATTTCAGCCTCATTTTACTTGGCAGCTTAAATCCATGATAGACGATTTCTTCAGTTGAAGAATCGATCTCCGACCAAAAGCAAGCACATTGTTTCTTTGCGGCACTTCACGTTGTGTATTACAGTCTCACTTCCAGAGCATAACTTGGCCCGATTAGAAACATGTTTGGGAGATAATGACTTCTATTTTGGTTTAACTATCATTAGTCTAAAGAATAAGTTTATTCCATGTGTTTCATATCAGTTCACATCGATAGTAATCTCATAGCCAGGTAAAATATACGCGGTTGAGTTATTTGATTTAGTTCATTAATTGCAGTAGCCCCATTTGGAAACGAAAAATGGACTGCAACTCAAACTTAAGCATGAGAAGACGAAACCACTGAAAGGACAAAAAAGATGTGTTGATTTTTAAACATTGTTAAATATCGCCACTTAGGTCACTGTCTTCAAAAACCAGTTAGGCTGGTTTGATTAAACAAAAATGAGTGGATTAGTTCGAAACAGGCAACCCAGTTACGTTTCTTTCATTCAAAGCCCCAAAATGAACGCTTTTCTTATTATTGCTTACTACAGTAAAATAAGATGGGAGGCATATGCAAGACAAATGTCGACCATGGGAATCAATGCCGGTAAAGAACTGGTGTAATTGAATACTTTTAAGTACCCCACCATTACCATGCTTGCCCTCCAGGTTGGCGTATTGCTGCGAAAACACTAGCACTGAAACACGGGCAATGGGGCTAGATCCTCCATGCATGACAAGCAAACATTTATTTGACTGATCAAACCTCTCTACTACTGAAGGACAAGTCGAGGGAGCAGATGCCATAGTTGCCTGACTAGGGAATATTAAAGAAGCTGGCAAATATGCAAGGACGCTTCTATCAATGTCGCAAGTGTTTTATCAAGAGAGACCATCCACTCAGATGACTACTTGAATTAGCGAAGAGCAAAACTTCTGTTCGGGTAGAAGTTTTGTTAGAGCGCTCTAATTTCAAAGGTGGAAAAATATCCATTTATGATACAGTTGATTTTATGAAGTAGTCTAAAAACAATATATAATATAGATCACTAAAAATTCATCCTTCAGGGGCACTAAGCTTAGTTAAACTTGACTTGAGTTGAAATAATGAATATGAAGCCAAGAATGAATCAAAAACATGGTTCATCGAAAGAATACAGACGAAATGAAATACGGATGTGAGTGGAAATGCTGATGGTAGAGAGATCAAACCAATATTCCTCGTCACCTTGCTATCACAGCTTCCAGACAGAAACCAATAAGACGAGGAGCACTGAAGTCACTGGGGTCGGTCTCGAAACATTTGCAATTCAATTTGACCCATTTGGCACGCACGCATGCCAAGGTTTGACCAGAATAAGATCGAATTAGGAGATTCGGTATCGTTTGCTTGGCTAAATACCTCATAATATGAAAAGCGTTCGGCTGTTTAATTGGTGAGAAAATAGGCTAAAAAGTAAATAGGTTTTTAGTGTGTAACATATTTTCCTCATCTGCGTAAGCTGCTATGGGAATGGTAGAAACAAACTGCTACTCGAATGCATCTATCAGTATAATGCTGCTTGAAAGAACAAACGGGGATTTGCAATAAAAAGGACTGGTCGCTTAAAAATTTTGCTTGTGTTTGCAAATTGGAATCATTTACCTAATATACTAATACTTCAGATGATACTATGATCTGGAGTGAGCGAAAGCATATTTCACTCTGTGGTGTACACACACCAGTCGGGAGAAGAAATTTCAAACTTGACCGAACAAATTCTAATTATCCCATTTGCATACTGTAAACATGGGATAAAGGAATAAGCAAGAATAAGCTGAGTCCCATTTTGAAACCTTCCACTGAAGGTGGATATCATTTACCATCATGAGGCAAAAGATCAACAGAGGTGGGTAGCTTGCCGGATAATTAACGCGTTTTATTCAGAAAAGAAACTCACATTGTTCAAACGCACAGTGTACAATAATTATGAAAGGAAATCCTTCCGGCGATTAACTTTGAGACTCAAATTAGGTTAAGTGGAAAACGATGGTGTTGAAATTTGAATGACATCAAGCTCTGTACTCAAATGTTCCAAACACCCCCTCCCTGTTATTTTCTCACATAAATGTCTTCGGAATTGGATAACATTGGACTCACCGAAAACCTATGTTCACCTACGATCTGTGTTGCGATTACATCAATGGACGTCTATCGTGATTTCAAGTGATAGTCTAACTTTTTAAAACACATAATACATACANTATATATATATATATATATATATATATATATATATATATATATATATATTTAGGGAGGAAATACCGTGGTCTCTGGTCAAAGAAACTGGAATAGTATTTCATGAAATTTATGAAGTTGGGAAATTTGATTCAGTTATAAGTATGAGTGTGACATTGTAGTGTTCAAAATCTCCAGTCCTTGGTCAAATTATTACTCTGGGATTTAAATCAACGTAANNAGTTTTAACACCAAGATGAGATACCTTTTGCCCTATAACCAAGGAAGGTTAATATCTCCGACCGCAGAGTTGTCAGGAACACAATAAGGGCAAATTCAAGAGTGATGTTGTCCTGTGGAATAAATTACAGGATTGCAGCATCTTAGTACTCGTGAACAGAGCTGCATGATGTTCTAGATCTCTGTCGAGTGCACATATATATTCCTGAATTGTAAGACTAAATCTTACTCATGGATTAACCGAAACTCACCTCCGGTAGCTGAATAATAAATTGATGAGCATTGGCTAATTTGGCCGCTTCCACCACATCGTCAGCTGAAGCGTCAAAACAACCCAATCGAATATTGTCCATCACAGTACCCTGAAACAGCACGGGTTCCTGCTGAACACAACCGAGATGAAGGCGGAAGCTCTTCAAATCCAGTTCTCGAATGTCAACTCCTTCAACTAGGATCTGTCACATGAACAAACAGGGTAGGTTTTTCTTTAATCAAAATAATCAAAGTGTGATTGAAACGGGATGCACAACGACAGACTCAAAACACGAGTATGAGCTAATTAAGAACAGTGACATGGTCGTGAAAACAATAAGAAAGGAATTAAAATCACCCCCTGGTATTTTCACGGATAAAATTTGTAGTAAATTGACTATCACATACATGCAACAGCAATGTGCATCTGAGCACCCTATTCAAGTTAATATTGGGAAAAGGCTTTTCCAAAGTATATTGTAGGGACAAACTGAAGTGAAATCAATTCATCACGCCACAAAAGAGGGACTGCAATTTTTCTGGAATAAAGCTAACAGTACCAACATGGTTGACGTATGCATACTTTCAAAGCTGTAACAGAAACAAAAAGGTTTTGAACCGTTCACAGTTTCTTTCAGACATGGTAATACAATGCAACATTAAAAATTAGACAATATTGAAAAAAGGTCTCTCAGTTGCGCTTCTGGATTACCCATTCAATGACCTCTCAGTAAATCTCACCAGGAATGAAAAAAATTGTACACCGTTGCCTCGCTTCAATTTTCTGATCAGACCCACAGGGCAAATTGGAAGTGAAATGTAGTGGTGAACAAGCTCTTTTTCCGTGATTCCCTATCATGCCAACGAACCTTTATACATCATTTATCAGGAACAAATTATTTTTAAGAGAAATTCACATCATAAAGTACTGGGGGTTAATTTCATCTTCATATCAGATCTGAAGTTCACAATGATCACATGTCTATTTAGATGAGAGTACTGGAGGATTTAATTTTATTATATGGTGAGCTTCGTCCTGTACAGAACAAGTGAAGGGTGAACTGAAAATCTGGGAGTTCAATCAGGTTCGGTTTGTTTCTGCCCCAGTGGAGGCCAGTGCGGAGACGAACGATGCCTGGAACAAGCTAGTGTATACCGACAAAGTGAAAAAAGATTTGCTCATCTTGGTAAACAAGTGAGTATTACGGTTGCGTTCAACCAGTGAGGTCCGAGGTTCGATCCTCACTTGGGTCAATGAATTTGCACAGCTGATGAAACCCTATCACATCTAAGTAGCTTTGGAGTGCTTCCTATATTTGCACTCCACACTTCATTTTCTCTGTAAGGGGGGGGGACTCAGCATATCTATTGACTTTTTTAATATCAGTCATCATCATTTAGCTAACTGAACTACCCGGATACTCACTGTGTAAAACAGTTCTTAGAAATATCAGTCCTGGCATCTGTCGATATGCAAAATAGTCTTTCATGCGTATAATATAGTCATATCTAAAGAACATAAGTTGGGTTAAACAATTATTTCCCAGTAATTCATCCTCAAGTCGTTCTTAGATTACAAAGAAAACAATGGAAACAAATCACAGTTGGATAAGGTCAGGGTAAATCTCGGTCAGTAGAATTGTCACGGTTACGTTGTCTTTGTCAAAGGATTACCCTTGATAGCTTGCTTCCTCCAGATGACTGAACAACGCATTTCTTCGGCCCTGATCATTCATGAGCCATAGAGTTTGAAAAGATCGATCTTTGCGCCCGATCACTGACGGAACCACACATAAGGACGCAAACTTTGATGCTTTGACATGTGAGTATTCACTAGGGGTTCCAGATGGTTTAGTTTCGTTTTTACCACCATCAACCATGCATATTTGTGCGTCGGTTTGGGTTGCTATCTGATGACTGCCAATTTAGCTGAAGTATTAAAAGGAAGAGTGGAATGTTTAAATCAGTTTCGAGAAGAAAATGGAGAATTCCCGTACACCAAGGTTGCACAAATACTTAGACGCACGAGAGCCACTGTTTACGATAGTCAGCCATATACGTCAGTGCCTGTAACCATTCGTTACACCGCTCCCGATGTTCCCGATGTTCAGGAAACCCAACGCGACATGTGTGAACAGGTTTTCTGGCCAGGGTTTTCATACCCTCATGCGAAGTCTGAGTTTGACCACCATTCAATTTTTTCTACTCATCACCAACAAGCTGCCTTAGGTAAAACCCCTGAAATTTGGACTCAATACATGAACGATACGCCCAAAATACTTCGTGTACTATATACACTGTGTCAGGGATCAACAAGTTACCTTTCCTTCATCGGGATCGTAGAATCGCTGCAACAAGTGAACAACAGTACTTTTCCCGGATCCACTTGACCCGACCAAAGCGACCGTTTTTCCTGGATGCAGCTCTAGATTGAAATTTTTCAAAACCTGTTAAAGTAAATGAAAAAATAATAACAAAAAACTGAGAGGTATGTGCGTTTTTGCAAAGTTCACCAAAGATCAGAGTTATCACAATGATGAGTTTGGTGCTAATGACTTTCTCTAACTTTAATGAGACAATAACCACTAACACGGTTGATTGTGATGCATAAATCATTCGGGGTTATCAGTCAGTGTGAATGATCATTTGATTAACCGAAATGAAGTGATACGACAACAAGTAGAACTTCACCTACAGTCTTTGGATTTTTAGTGACATACTTTCAAAGAATCGTGTTTTTTCAAGGATGACTTACACTTAGTCCAAATTTTCATTTTCTTCGAATTTTATTTCTATCCTATTTGCACTTGTGTTTCACTCGCTCACTCTGTTCATACACACATCACAGATTATTTTCCATCTGTTCAATTCTGCCGTCCACCATCAGAAAGGTGAATGGAGCTTCTCTGTGATGGAACTCATAATGTGATGGCTAGGAAAAAAGCACTGAGCTGCTGCTTCATACAACGCACATGACTGGTGGTGAAACGTTTGCAAATTGCCAAGCTCGACGAACAGGCGAAAATAAATTACCAAAACTGTAAAATCAGTTCAACAGCACAAACAATGGCATCTTCACGAGTACCTTATTTTTTCTTTTCTTAACTTTCTTTTCTCTTAACACATGTCCAATATAATTACATATGTCACTGGCATACCAAAATCAACCGGAAACGTAAACAAGGGATATTCTTTTTATTGAATTCCAATCCAGAATCACAAACTCTCATCTTCATCTGATTGGCTTTATACAAAAATCCGTTTTGGAACATCGATTCTGATCATTACACTTCAGGCCCTCATGACAATGTCGCTCACTCCTTCTACTACCATAACACAATGATGTGTAACTAGAAAAATAAGTATTTGACAGTTACATACCTTTGCATCCGGGCGACTTGGATAGGTGAACGATACGTTTTGAAAAAGGATATTACCGGTGAAGTTTTCTAATACTTTGCCCTTGAAGTCTTTGTCAATTTTTGGAGTCTGTGGGGCAGTGGGAAAAGCAGCATCAGTAAACATATTTGCACCCGAAGCATTAGCATCAAGCAGAATCGTTTTGGTGCTTGATAACTTTCCCAGATTGAAAATTGTATTGCAAGCTTTACATTGTTAATTGATTCAAAGTGTGAATGTTATAATTCCTGAAAAATCTATTAATTAAGCTACAATAATCATCAATTGGGTTTATCATGTGTCAAATATAGTTAATTACAAGACAAACTTTGCAATTTCTTCTCAGTAATCCTCACTACAGTTAAGCGTATCGGTTTCAAATGTATCAGAAGCTGTTTAGGCATAAATATCAGAGCGCTATATAACGAGATGCCATAGTCATATGGAATATGGTGTTTAGCACCCTTACGCAGCGAGCACGTGTTTGTGTAAAACGGTATTTGTAGTCTATTACTCAAAGTATTATTGTGTCTAACAACTTTTGCAAGTAAATTGACAAGCCCGGAAATCGCTTTCCTGTCACTGTCTATTCACACAAATTTAAGCACTGACTTAGGAGAAAATGGGTTTGAGCATATGATGAGTTTGTTCGTGTACGCTCCGACTGTTGAGCTCAAAATGCTGTTTTTCTTGCCTGCTCGAGAATATTGGAGATAAACACGACTGAATATTTCAGCGGATCTTAACAACCAAAAACTATCTTTTACGATGAAAAGCTTTCGTCACGTTTGTTTTTCCCTCCCTAAAGCTACTGTCCATTTGAACAAAAAAAGAGTGGATAACAGAAACTGTATGTTTTTCCTTGTACACACTAGTCACATTTCGTTTGCGATTGGCGTTAGGTATACTTTGATACTTGTACAGGTTCTGACAGGATAATTTATAAATAATTTTGAGGTCCAAACCTCGCCAAGTGGAAGCAGAGTCTAAAGTGTAGTAAGTAAAAAAGAAAAGGAGCTATTCCCGGAAGCCACAATAACATGACAATTGTGGTTTGCTTTTGATCGAAACGTGCGCTCCATCATAGCACAATGATAAAGAAACGTACAATTTTTAGCGGAGTATGGATATCAACATATAGCTTCCAAAACCCATATTTTTCAAAAGAACCTGGTCAAGGAAAGTGTAAACCATTTTC